TTGCAGAGTAAATATGTTAATTATATAACATGGGAGGAAATGAACTACAACAACTGATCTGTGAAAATGACCCATGCCTTTATAAAAAAAAAAACATATTGTATAGATGATATGGAACTCATACAAATTGAAATAGTTATGAATTAAGGGGCATAAGGATGAGGCTTCATTATGTCATACTGCCAACCTATCTCATATCACTGTATTTCCTCATCACATCCTAAAATGACAAGTAATCTAGAAATAAGAACAGAGAAAATAGAATGGCAGTGGAACTGCACATACTGTCATATTCTGTATGGACAGGTTAAACATAAACAGCGTTTTCGACTACTATAAAAGGTTACATGCATTTAAAGGATAAGCAGAGTGCCTCAAACCATTGAAAACCAGTCCTTCTAGCCACAAGAATACAGTACAGACAGTATAGTGGGCAGGTCTTGTACTGCTCTCATTTTCTTGGTTTTAACTCAAGTGAGTCATGGCAAATCATGAAATAGATTATAAGTGAGCCTGGGTCGTTCGATTTGAGTCATGCTTTCCCAGTATCTCTCAGTATCTTCCTGAATTTATATACAGCAAATGGATTTATTATACATTATAAATATATTTATGATATGTACCATAGTTAATGTATCATAGAAAATTATGTAATTTAATTTTCTGGTTTTCCTTTCCTTTCTTATTAATAATAAATAATAAAATAATTTTGTCTGCATTGAAGTAACTTATTCAAAGAAACTCAATAAGCTGATTGTATAGATGTAATCAGAATGACGTCTTGCTTGATATTCTGAAAAACGTGGCTTTTGATGTACATTGTGGACTTTAGCTTCTACAACCTTTTTCACAAAGTTTTTCAAGATTCAGAGTTTGAGGGATGATGTAAGTCCATCTTGGTGTCAAAATTGTCCAGATGAAAATTCAAATATCACAAAGTAGCCAAAGGTGTGCTAGAAATATCCTCTTCCCTGGGCTATCACACTTTTAACAATTTAACAATTTTAAGTACTAAGGAGTTCTTCAGCAGATGGTAGAACTTTGTGTGTTTTAATCTGTACTGAGGAATGTACACCACTGTGTACATACAGCAATAATTAGAGAGATTACTGTAGCCACAAAAGTGGTCTGTCTGAGAGCCTCTTAACCCTGACCCCTTTCCCCTCTGTTTTTGAAGATTAATATCCCTTCTCATTGCCTTTATAAATAGGGGGCCTCTTTCCCTTTCTTTCTCTCCAGTGCCAAACCCAAAGATGAGTCGTTGTAACCCCTCCCAAAGTACCTACCCCCTCAGTGACCAGCACGCCCGTATACCAGATAAAGGCAATGAAACTAGTGAGCTGCACGTACCGTCTCCTGCCTCTCTTACTACACTGCTGCCTCTGCAAGGAGAAACCAGAGGTGATCATTGCATTACAAGGAGATGCATAAATATTTTATTTAACAACTAAAAATGCAGAGATCTTGGTAAGACCACTACTACTAGAAGCAAGTACTAGAAATACATGTACAGTAGCTTTTGGGTAGGAAAGGCCTCAAAAAAAAATTTGAATCAAGTTAGATGTGTTAACATTCTCATTTTTCAAGTTCAGGACTCTGTACTGCAGCTCCTGAATAAGATATTCCTCTTGGTTTCAACTTCTTCATTTTGACCAAGCTCTAGGATGCAGTTGCCCTTCTGAAATCTAATAATATAATTCAGTTAGAGTCAGGTCTGAGCAGCAGCGGTGCCTGAAGTAGGGAGTGAGTCTAGATTTTCTCTCTTGGTGCTTTGATCAGATAACAGTGACATATTTTATATTTCCTTCAGCAGTTTCAACCACAAGACTGCAAATCTTTCAAATGTTATCCAAAATATCAGTTTAAAAATGGTTTTATAACAGAATATCAACTGAAAATATTTTGAACGTTCTATTACAGTATATCATTTTGAAAAATCACAGGTATTATTGGTTGTGTACTGTGCAGGATTTAAATACATTGCAATAAGTGAGAACCAGAGTGTCTAAAGGACAACTTTATCGTATATCTTACTGTAATGTATTTGAATCAAAATGGACATTGTGTTCAGACTACTGTACAGTAGTAAAGTTTATATTCCACTGTTGCAAAGACAAAGCTGAAGTACTTAGCCAATTTATTTAGCTGGTGAAAAGTACATTTGCATCCAATTATAGAGCTAGGCATTTTACTGAAATATTTGAAGAGGAAATACAGTACATTGTTCAAGGATATACTGTAACAGCAGTATCTCACCTGCTATGTTCCACTGCTCAGCTGCTAACTTTTCTCCAAAAGGTTCAACTGTCTTGGTTAGGCTGTATTTTGATTACACTGCATCCATTATACTACAATATAATATACTGAAGTGAAACAAATCCTACCAAGTTAGCCTAATGTCTTTTACCTGCATCTTCTAAAGATTCAAGTATTTGATTTTTATCTTATTTTTCTTCTACATTTCTTTACTTTAGGAAATACATCTATGACAGTTCACATCATACAGGTACTCTTTCCTGCTTTTGTTTCACCCTTACCTGACTTTGTTCTGTGTGACATTTAAATGGGACCTTTTTGGTTATTGTTTTACTTGAAAGGAAGCATTTCTTCAGTGGAATATCAATCATAGAGCTTCACAGAGGAACTGCGATGTGACTGGAATTATTTATTCCATGCACTTCAAATAGAGCAGCCTTATTTCTGCCAGTGACACTAGGTTGTTTAATAACATTTCTCAGTGTAGGTGCTTACAGTAGGTCTCAAAACAAACACATTTGCACTTTTAAGATCTACTATGATCTTGAAAACAAATTTAGAAAAAAAATTAAAAAAACAGATAATATAAAATACACATACTGTACATATTATGTCAGTCCTATCAGGTTTAATCAAATAGTGGAATGTATGAGCTGCAGTAGAATAAACTTTTATTTAAATGAAAGAAAACCCTGACAAGATCTAAAACAATACAAGATAAATTACCAACTAAAGTTAAAAGAAAGAATGATTTTGGAGCCAACATAATTCTACCAATCATAGTTCAAATTTCATTTTTTTTTTTGCACATAGCTAACTGATTTCTGTAAAGATATACATGTAGATCAGACTGCCACAGAAGGGCTTTATATACTCAGAGAATGCACTTCACCTGGATGCTTAATTAAACCCCCTTACTTGCATTCCCACATGGAATTCCTGCAAGTAGGTAAAGTATCTGCTTGGGAGTCAATATTGACAACAGTATTGCACCCTTGATAAATGCCTGAACACAAAAGTCACTGCACAACAGTTTCATAAAATAATTATAGCACATTCTATTGTTTGCCATTTTTCAAATCTAAGTTATCTAGAAAGATAACATCATTAACCAAATAGCAAATATATAAGAATGTGTAATTTTTTGTAGGTGAAACATTTTCAACCACTTACTGTAACTGCATGTTGTAAAATCATTGACCCAAACAATATAAATAGACATCTGTATTTCCCAAACAATGTTAAATCTTCCCTGTAGAATTTTTGATGGCTTAAAGCTTTTTGATTCATCAGTAGTCTAAGGCACTAACCACCAACTCATTAGCTTGCTGTATATTATTTACAAGCTGTTAAGCTTTTTCATCCAATTCCAATATTTGGTCCACTTTTTTACCCTAAGCTAACTGTATACAAACTACCTAATTATGTTAACTAAGGTTATACTGCCTAAAGTGAAATACCTGTACATGATGTGTGTGACAATATTGGTGACTAGATATTTCGAAAGCACTGTCATGGAGGAGGAAACATTTTTTTATTTAGAATGACTGACGTATGTTTGTTATTTTTCATCTAATTGATAATTAAATTAAATATTTAAAGGGTGCTTTTCATTATCCTCATCATTATCAGAATTAATAATGCATTTTTTTAGCATTTGTTGACATTTCACAAATTAAGTAATGTAAAATAAAGAAATGGGTTTAAATACTATCTATATTCTCCAATGGTTTTAAATATTAATACCTGATCAAGTAAATTGTGATATGCACAGATGAAATATTGTAATTATTTCAATAACTACTGTAAGTTTTAGAAGCAACACAATCATGTGATTTTAGGGACAGCTTTTAATCTCAGTAACTTTACATTTTCTCTGCATGTTGAAGTAAAATTGTGAAAAGCTCCCCAAGATGTAACAACAATTGACCCTTCAGGTTTGACTATGGTTATTTTTGCCAATGTTTCACTGACAAAATCTTAATGGCTGTGTTATGGTTAAAATTTACAAGTGTCTTTCCTAATTTGAGGATAATTGCATGAGTTGAAGATTGTTAAGTGTCAATTGTTAACGAATAACAAATGTTACACTTTTAGATTTAAAGTTTAAAATGGATAAAAAACTCAACTCTTTTTTATTTTTTAGTTTTGTTTCTGGACAGGCTAGGACATTTTCCATGTGGAATAACCAAAGTGAATGTCTTAACATAAACACCAGTCCAAATTGGTCTTGGTGATCTGCAACATTTACTAGAGTTATCTGGACTGTCATAAAGCAAACTCAATTACCTGCAAATGTATCTGAATCAATATGACATTTTCTAAGCATCTTATATTACACTTACTGTAAAAGCCTACTTTGTAATATGGGATAGGTATAAAAGAAATTGACTAACACCTTTGGGAATTATTTTGTTATGGAAAAGGTGTGATTTATGTTATTATTAGATATTATTAAAATATAGTAATGAACATATTGTATTTGCTATTTTTAATGTTGTCCATATATGAATTCACCATGCAAAGACCACAATCCTTACAATAGAGACAGTTTTTTAAGAATTTAAGGTAACAGAGAATGACAAGCATTCAAGCTAAATGCCAACCTGCAGTAACATTAAGACTGCCATCAGCGAGCTGAGTTACTGCTATTATGACATTGTAATCTGCTTATTGTTTTCATTAAAGCATCTTCAATCATTCAGCCATCAGTCTATATGTGTTGTTTTTTTTTTGCACTGCAGTGAAATGAAACAGGAGCTCGAAGAAGAAGGCAGCAAATGCACAATCCTCTCCAAACAGAACAAGTTTAATGACCACTGTTGCATCCGCTGCTGCTCCCCCTTCACGTTTCTCATAAATACCAAACGCCAGTGCCTGGACTGCAAATTCAATGTCTGCAAGAGCTGCAGGAACTACAGCAAGAAGGAGAAGGCATGGATCTGCTCGGCATGCCAGAAAAGCAGGTAGGTGACATATGTTGCTGGTGGGGGTGGACTGCTGTTGCTTGTTCCCAGCAAAAGGCACAATCTATTGCTTCGTGCCCTGAGCTGTGAACGCAAAAGTGAAATAAAAAAAAAAACAGGCTATTGTTCCATTGTGCGAACTGGCTTGATAATGACAGGGCAGCAGTGAAGGCAGTGATACAACCTTCAAGGCATTCTTTGTATCTGTGAAATCCAACGGTACAGTCCCAGAACCGTTGGATTTCAGTAAAAATGGATTCAAACTAAAGTGTTTGAAATCTCCCATGCAATGGAGATTGCATCCAAATTGTTTTATATCAAAACTCGGTGAGATAGGTGTTGCTAAGGCGGGTGAAAAATCATTATTTAATAAGGTCCAGGGTAGATGAACATTGCACATGTATTTTTATTCTTTCCAGTTGAGTTATGAATGCAGTTCAATTCATAGTTTTGAAAGAGGAGAAGAACACATGTGTGTTGTTTTCTCAGGTATCCCCTTACCACAGGGTGTTGATAAAAATGTTTCAGATGTACTCAGGTAAATACCAATGCAAGTAGCTATATTAAAGTTGATTTAAGACAAATATGAAGAATGCATGGTATTCTTTGTTTGTATATACTGGGCATTCAGAGAAACTTATCACTTTAGGCATGTATGTTTTTGGGGGGTAAAAAAAAATTATAGAAGTTTTGGATATATATTAAACTTTTTTGGCTTCAGTTGATCATCCATGGCTGACACATGTAATATATTCACGTGAGTTTGACTATTGCATAAGCACTAAATTGCCTCATTAGTGAGAAAGTTTGAATGGGCATAAGTGATAAGGTGATTTAACCTGTTGAATGTTTAATTTTGTACAATTCAAAACAGAAAAATATATAGTAGAGAAAGGAACCAAACTGGCTTGCTTATCAGGAGTACACTATCAAAATGTTGGCGCAACACCTAAGATCACCATCAACTGGTACACCATGTCAGTAAGTATGGTGCAGAAATGAAGCACAATACAGTAATTACTGTGTGCAGTAGACAAAATAATGTAGTGGTGCGGGAATTGTCATTTGGACAGGGCTGTCTAGTTTCTATAGAAACATTTGTAGTGATTGATGGCAGCCTGAATGCACTTTGCTACATCCTGAGCATTGACATTTCTCCCCTACTTAACAGGCTTGCGTCCCATTAAAACTGTATGTGGAATATGATTTGACAATATGGAACATCTAGGGCTCAAAAACCAGTGAGCAGGTTTATGCTTGTCCAGTCTTTACCATAGGAATGGAAAAGACTGCTGTAAGGCAGAAATGGCAATATACCTATACTGTACCTCTCTTTTTCCGAAAGCTCTTTTTTTATGAAAATTCAATACTACAAAGCATTTGAGTTGTTTCCCACATTTCGATTAATGAGAGCCAACTTCAAAACTAGAAAAGAAAAATATTGAAACCTCCACGGAATGTAGGGAGTAAAGAGAAAGGCATCATATGAATCATTTCTTATCGAGAGTATGCATCACAATCCACTGAGTAGTATTGGTGAGAAGCTAGCACAGAAAGCAAATGGTTACTGTCAAGTATTTTATTGTACTTAAGTAGAATTAATGATGTCTAACTAGGTAAGCAGTGTTTTTTATTACTAAAAACACAAACCACTGTATGGTTGTTAGTCACAGTATGAATGTTCCTTTGTCTTTTTTTGGTGTAAAAAGTAAAAATAGGGGTGGCATTTTTGGGGTCTAGAACGGATCGTACTTTTCCCCCATAAGAAACAATGGAAATCCTTTTTTTCTTTTTCATGAATTTCGCTGTGCAAAGGTTTTTCTGGGAATTTATTTTATTTGTAAAAAGAGTGTAGAGTGGAAGCACGTGACACAGAAACACAGCTTGTACGGCCATACATGCTATTAGCCTGTAACTTCCACAGTATTGATGAAATGTTTTGATAATAAAATCGACATAATGAATTTACCTACAGTCATCTCTGTTCAGTAAAATGTCAATGCACCTGTGACAAAAAGATATTCTAATTTTGCTGATAATAACTTTGTGAATTTGTTGCAATTAAGTGATTTTTTTACAGTATGTATAGCACTGTATTTATCCAATTTCATTTTCTAGAGATATTTAAGTAATCTCTATATTATGTTTTCGGACTGTAATCTTAAAGAATGTTTTAACAGTGATCTGATTACATTCGCTACATTATAGAGTGTCAGAAATACTACACATTCTGCTTTTCTTAATGTAGTGCATCCATGAAATCTATTGAAGAGTATAGTATATAAAGGAATATTCTTTTAAAATATTCATAATATTTGACATATAATAAAGTGGAGCTGCTGTTTTTCTTGGCCATAAAGATGTCTCCCTTTATTATACCTGACTGTTGGGATGAAGTTGACATTGTTTGTTTCTTATTTCTTTAGATCCTTAGGGTGTTTTTAATGGATGATGCTTGGAATTGCTGGATTTGGGCTAAATGATTAATAAATGTAATCAAATATGAAAACAATAATATGGAGACTGATTGGGAATACAAGGTTCATGAATATTGTCAGTGAACAGATATCTTCTTTGAAATGTTTTATTGTTCTATCAGTCCATTTCCCGTAGTAATTGGTTTTTAATTTATTGTGCTTCCCAACCTCATGTTTCCTTCTTGTTACTTATTTTTAATTTAAATTAATCATAATTGCTTACATGCAATTTTGACAGGACAATTTGAAGAATAGAAAAAAGGAGAAACAGCATTGAGTAACAATTTCGGGATACAAAGAATGCATTGTTTATGATATAACCCATTTCTAGATATATATACTGTACAGTATTTTACTGTATTCAGTTGTGAGAAAAAGTTTGTGAACCCTTTGAATTATCTGTAATCCTACATTAATTGTTCCTATAGTGTAATCTGATCTTCATCTACCTGTAAATCATAAAAATAAGCACAGTCTGAAGAAACAAATAACTCACAATCAATTGTAACTTTTCTTGTCTATATTTTACACATTGTGTCCTAAGGCTGGGCGATATGGCCAAAAACCACAGTATAAATTTATTTTTAGACAGCAGTGATATACACTGTACTATATATCATGATATAGAATTTTTTCTCATAAATTCACTAAAACATGCTTTTAAAGGAGTACAAGTTTTTATTGCCTAGAGTTAACTATTAGGTTATTAACAACTGTTGGTTAGCTACTGTGTTGTTCCTTTAGTATTTTTTAAATTTCACATTGAACTGAGTAGAAAGTCGAACATTTTAAGAACATTTTTATTTTGCAGACCTGAAACAGTACAGCTCATTCTCATACTTTCCTCATACTCGCATACATTTTTCATCTTTAGGTGACAGTAGAGGTTCCTTGTATCACCGTCTCTGGCTAAAATCGTCACTTGGCATAGTTTGCAGATAACCTTTTTCTGCTCGTGGTCCAACTTTTTAAATCCGAACCATTTCTAAACAACCAATGAAGCACCCTTCTTTTCAACAATTTCGTTGCTTGTTCCCATCTTGCTAACACTGCCTTTCTATATTTCTCTGCGTATTTGTGTTTGCAGACGGGCACACCAAACACGTGTGTTTGTTTTCATGGGAAAGGGAAGAGGACGCCCACATGTTTTTATTGGCCGCAATGACCTCAGATACGTCATAAAGTCTGAACCACCAAAGATCAATAATTCTGAACCTATCAGATTTCCAAATCTCAGCCAGATGAACATTTTCGGAATTATATAATTGGAGCTCAAATATGGCACAATTTTAACAATTATAACAGGTCAATATTAAAAATGTACAAGCCCTGTTTTGCAACAATGCTGGCGGCGCAATCTATGTAAACATCTAAATCCATTCTCTGCTGGTATAGCCAAATCCTTATCGTGCCACATATTTTTTACTTGTACACTGTCTATACCGGTTATACCACCCACCCTTATTGTGTTGGGAGTTCTAATCAATGAGATGGTGTGATTTTGAGGTGTTCTTCCCTAAACGAAACCCTCAAAAAATGGTTACCAAAAGAATCGGCTCTTCACAACACAAATCTGTTGAAGTGAATCATGTCCTGATCAAAAGGTTTCAGAGGACCTCAGAAGAAGATTTTTCGATTCTCATAAGGCGGAAAAAGAGTTAAAATCGTTTCTGAAGACTTAGGTCTCCATCAGTACACAGCCATGCAGATAGTGTACAAATGGAAGAAATTCCGTACTGTTGCTTCTATCACTCTAGGAGTGGTTCTCCAACAGAAATCTCTGCACAAGCAAGTTGTAGGATACTCAAGGTGACAGAGAACCCTAGGGTAACAGCTAAGGATCTGCAGGCATCTCTTGCACTGGCTAATATCTGTGTTCATGAGTCCACCATAAGAAAGGAGTGAACAAGAGTGGTGTATGTGGGAGCATACCACAAAGTGAACCACTGCTCTCCAAAAAAAAAAGCCATTGTAGCCCTTTTCAAGTTTGCCAACAAACCTCCTAGGATATACACTACTGGATAGATTCTGTTCTGTGGATAAATTAGCCAAAAGTGGACTTTTTTGGAATACTGTAAATGTGCAACTTTATATTTTGAGGAAGCAAAATGCTGCATACCATCACAGCCCAAAAACCTCATCCCGGCCATGAAGCGTAGTAGAGGGAGAATCACGGTTTGGAGATGCTTTGCTGCCATTAAGATGGCTTGCAGTCATTGTTGAAACAGTGAATTCCAAATTGTATCAGCACATTCTACAGGAGAAAGTCAGATTATCTGTCTGTAATCTGAAGCTTAATAGAAACTGGGTCATGCAGCACGACAATGTTCCTAAACGCAAGAATTACTCTACAGGCAAATTTTGCATTTTGGAATGGCCAAGTCGGAGTCCTGACCTCAACCCAGTTAAAATGCTGTGGCATGACCTGATGCAAGCCATTCATGCAGGACTTATGCAGGAAAAATATCAATGAATAGAGCACTCCTGGAAAGAGGAATGGGCCAGAATACCCCCCAGACGGAT